CTGCAGCAAACCAGGCCTACTCACTCTCACTCTCACGTACATGTAGCGATAACGCAGGGTTGTGGTTAACGCGTACGCTCTTTTACAACAAAGTCTTGACGATAAAACAAGAGTCATGAAACGTCGAATCTTGATCTTTTAGTATCGTCCCTTCACGTCCTACTACACGTGACAATATTGTGGTCTGACACGCTTGCCTTTTGTCACGGCGAGATGTTTATATCATCAACTTTTCAATATTTCTCTTTTGATATTGATTATGACACAAAACCTCGTTACATGCACTCTGTTTGGAGCACTGTGGTAAGTGACACCCCACTGAACAGGAAGGATGGCATTGTATTTCAGAATTGGGCAGATGTTAAACTCGCCTCCTTTTTAACATGAAAGACAGGAGAAACATACGAAAGAACGAAACATAATTATTTTATTCGCCAAAAATAATAACTGACGACTTGATTAGATCCTGACCCACCGATGCCTGCGAAAGGAAGACCCGTGTATTTACATGGTACGTTGTTGACGATAGAGGGATAAGTCTTGCGAAAGGAAGACCCGTGTATTTACATGGAACGTGGTTGACGATAGAGGGGATCAGTCTTGCGAAAAGGGTTGTGCTGAAGGTTTTAATGTGTCAAAAATGTTCATGGACGGTGCATTATGGGTAGAGGTGGTCAAGGCGCTAGACTGCTGTTTCATTACGCCGATGGCGATGGTGAGTTGAAAAATGACTACATTGCCGAGCAGCAAAGTTTAATTTCTCTTGTTGTGACATGAATGCCCTGTTTCGTCAAGTATTGACAATTTTCTCTCACAGCTATTTGCCACAGCCCCAAAGTCTTTAACATGAAATCCATTCTACAAAAAACGAAAGAAAATATGAAATATGAAAATGTAAAACGTGATCAGTTACTGAGGCTTATGTTGGGGACCTATAGCTAGCGACAAATCTTAATCTTTCCTGCACTTAAGTATTTTGTACTTGTGTGGAGTTCAAAGACTACGTGATACATTAGAAATACACAGTGTGCAACCTGACATTAAAACCTACATTCTGGGATATTAGTTTCGTTGTCTTTATGAATCAAAGGGACGGATGAGTTTAACGATTGACCAACCTGTTTGTACATACCTTGTTTGATACCCATTACCAACGAGGCCCACACAAGGTCTCAGGAGGCCAACATAGGGTCACAATTTCACACGAAAACCGACATAAGGTCACAACTTGCCTAGGGAGCCCGCACATGATCACAACATGTCAAGGGAACTAGCACAAAGTCACAACGTTGGAAGGAGGCCAACACAAGGTCTCAGGAGGCCCACATAAGGTCACAATTTCTCACGAATACCGACATAAGGTCACAACTTGCCTAGGGAGCCCGCACATGATCACAACGTGTCAAGGGAACTAGCACAAAGTCACAACGTTGGAAGGAGGCCCACACAAGGTCTCAGGAGGCCCACATATGGTCACAATTTCACACGAAACCGATATAAGGTCACAACTTGCCTAGGGAGACCACACATGAGCACCAAAGTTTAATTTCTCTTGTTGTGACATGAATGCCCTGCTTCGTCAAGTATTGACAATTTTCTCTTACAGCTATTTGCCACAGCCACAAACTTGCCCCAAAGTCTTTAACATGAAATCCATTCTACAAGAACGAAAGAACATATGAAATATGAAAATATAAAACGTGATCAGTTACTGAGGCTTATGTTGGGGGCCTAGCGACAATGTCACTGTTTCAATATTGAATATCCTTAATCTTTCCTGCACTTAAGTATTTTTTACTTGTGTGGAGTTCAAAGACTACGTGATACATTAGAAATACACAGTGTGCAACCTGACATTAAAACCTACATTCTGGGATATTAGTTTTGTTGTTTTTTTACGAATGAAAGGGACTGATAAGTTTAACGACTGACCAACCTGTTTGTACATACCTTGCTTGATACCCAACGAGGCCCACACAAGGTCTCAGGAGGCCCACATAGGGTCACAATTTCACACGAAAACCGACATAAGGTCACGACTTGCCTAGGGAGACCGCACATGATCACAACATGTCAAGGGAACTAACACAAAGTCACAACGTTGGAAGGAGGCCCACGCAGGGTTTTAGGAGGCCCGCATAAGGTCACAACTTCAATTAGAGGACGACACAAGGTCACAGCTTGCCAGGGAGACGCACTATCTCAGAGAGCCCAACACAAGGTTTCAGTAGGCCACAACGTCAAAAGGAGGCCGACACATGGTCACAACTTGCCAAGGAAACCCACATAAGATCACAGCATGGAAAGGAAACCCACACACACTTTTAGCAATATTCCAGCAATATCACGGCGGGGGACACCAGAAATGTGTGGGGAATCGAACCCGGCTGCTCTGTGTGGGGAATCGAACCCGGGTGGTCGGTGTGACGAGCGAACACTTTAACCACTAGCCACAACACGGCCACCTGTTGTAGTCGCAGTGACACAAAAAGGTGTCAGAACTGGGATACTTCTAGAAGGGTGGCAATGCCAGATGGTCTGATCAATGACACTGAAGTTGGCGTTTGATCACATCATGCACTTAGTTACAAGTAGAAATAATTGGAAGTGGCAAACGAAGCATGCTTCCTTCTGGAACTTAGGTAATGAACTCGGTATACTGTGGAAGTGCCAAAGTATGAGTGATTTGTCACATGACACAAAACTCCAAACAAATCAAACACTACAGAAAGTATTTTTCAAACAGAGCTTAAATGTGTCTTCATATAAAACACTCTTAAAAACGCACAGGCGTTATAACAGTTCATTTCGATATATTTTGACAGAAATTGTCATTAAGACAATTCATACGTTTGAATCCCGTGAATTATGTCGCGGTTGTTATGTATTGCGTGCAAAAGCATAAAAAATAAAAATGAAAATGGAAAGTGGATGCAGAAGAGGTTTTCCATGTGATGCACTTGCCATTTGTCGCAAACATGAAGAGAGACGTCGACTATAACAGGTAAAACCTAATTCCTCACTTTATGAGAAAATTTACGACATAAACGAAGATAACAAAATGCCAAGATTGAATGCTACTGACCGAAATATCGCCATTGGACGTTTGGAAGCAGGGAAGTCCCAGTCTGCCGTTGCAAGATACTTCAACATCCACCACAGCACCATATATCGATTATAACTATGACATCGACATACCCGCTTCAATTCGACCCAAGATCGTCCAAGAAGTGGAGGAACAGGACTGACCACTCTTGCTCAGGACCGATTTATTCGGGTGTTTCACCCACGTCACCAATTTGCTACAGCAACGGACACTGTAGGACAGATGTCTGGTCTTCAATGAATTTCCGTCCAAACCACCAGAAAAACATCTGAGAGAATTGGGAATTCGAGCATATCGACCAAATGTTGGACCTGTCTTGACACGACTACACCGACAACGACGTGTCCAAAGGTGCAACAGGGTACATGCATGGAACCTTGGTTCAGCGATGAGACAGGTGGAGAGACTTGGCGTCATGGTGTGCCCTACACGGAGACCAGAGCTAGCGGTGGTTCAAGGCAATCTTACACCACATCACTACATCGGCCAAATCCTGCAGCCTCACCTCCTCCGACTTTTTAACCACCAGAGATCTAGTTGTTTCAGCGACAACGCTCGACCCCAAAACAATGCAAACGTCAATGTCCTTACCTGGTCTTCCAAATCGCCGGATCTGAACCCGTTCGAGCATCAATGAGATGAACCTAATAGACGCGTCCGAAAACGTCACAATCCTCCTCAGACACTTACAGAATTTGCCAAAAACGTTGCAGGAAGAATGGGGAGGAATTCCCCAAGCAACCGTCCGACGCCTTGTGCAATCCCTCCCAAGGCGGTGTCGAGCAGTGACGGCTGCAAAGGGTGGTGTCACCAGGTACTGACCTGAACACCCCCTTGTGTCCATACATGTGCAGTTGATGAACTGAATTAATGCTGACAATGACAACAATAAATATGTTCATCCGTGTGTCGAATTTCCTTCGTCTATGTTCAAGCTTATCGACTTATATATACTGGCCACATAAAGAAACTGTGCACACAGAAAATATAAATATAGGCACACAGCGTATTTATACATAATACATTTGTGAACATTGGAGACAATCAAACGCTCATACACGTGCCAGGCGATGTGACGTCATTGACGGTGGCCTAAGGCCTTGCAATGTGTTACTGCACGTGCAGCCCGTACAGGTGCACACAACATGTGAAACACTGAAATTGCTGTTACTGTCGAAAGCTTGATCTTTGGTCATTGAAACGTTCACCAATTCACATGAGACGTCACATGCACATCATGCCAAGATTAACATGTGCTCAACGCCATGAAGATGGAATGGTTCGAGCAGGAATGAGCCAACAACAGGTGGCAGCACATTTCCAATGCGATCGTAACACGATATCTGCATGGGTCAGGGGTTATCGAAACAGTAATGACGTCGCCCACCACCCACATTCTGGGCGTTCCCGACGTAACGACGCCAAGACAGGACAGATGGATTAGGGTGACTCATCTCAGATACAGGTCCAGACAGCAGTGACCACGTCCCAGACCATTCCCCAGGCCTTCAATGCTCATTTGCTAGCCTTTATGCGTCTTCGATGCACTGCTGTGCTTCACACATACGGTGGTATACCCGTTATTGACTTTGTGACTTCGTCGTGTGACCCCCTACTCGATTTTGAACTTCTGACGTCATCGTTACGGATATTGTTCATGTTCTTTTGACATTTTCTTGTGGTCCGATACTTCAGCTTATAAAGTGTCTACATCATTTCGTCTTTGCTGTGTTGTATTCCAATCCTGAAGGCATATTCTGTGTGCACCGTTTCCTCTATGTGGCTAGTATACATGTAAATACGTTTGATATATGTCCTTACTTTTGGACTGTGCGGGGGTTTTGTGTTTTTATTTTTTTAAGGGTTTAAATACTGAAATAGTCCACACATAATGTGATGCACCAAAATGGCTTTATTCACTTATACGAAAGTGAAGCGTCACATCTGTACCTTATTTAGAGCAAACAGTGCATCTCAACTCCCAGTGATTCTTGTATGGAGGACATGGCAGGGAACCACAGACACCTTCAACAAGACACAAGAGTTGCCCGTTCTTGTTTTCAAGGCCACTTCTATCCTTTTCTGCATCTCCATCAACACACAGATACTCACTAGCAGCATAATTATAATAGCCACCCATCAGATACCCAGTGTACTCTACATGCCACCCAGGAAAACAGGACATCTTGGCAGGCACCATGATGACGCTTGTCTTGGTTGTACTTCTGCACACGGCACAGGGAACGTCATGGTCATGAAGGCGTTTGAAAATGATGGAATGATCACTGGTTTCATATTCTGTACCATAGATGGCACCATCAGATTGAAATCCTGGAGTGTAGTTTCCATATTCAGGGTTGTCTGGCAGGCACAGGATATTAGCAGGTCCGGCCTTAGCAGTGTAATGTGTTCCTCCAGCTATTCCTGTGATAATAATGCAGTCGGGTTAGTCAAAATAAGCATTACTAGTAATGCTCAGGCTGCTCAGATATAGGATATTGCTTAAACCATGGATACGACAAGGACATACATGTTCCCCCCTCTTCAGCTCTCACTTTGAAGGTGACGCAAACTCAGTATACATCATGCACATAATACACTTCACAGGTCTATATTCTCAGGGTGATCTGTGATATCAAAGCCCCATATTTTACACAAATCGACATTATCGAAACCCACCTCTGAAATGCGGTTCTTTTTTTTATAAGGCTACTTTTGAAGGAGGTGGTGTAATTTCGTGTAATTTCAAGTTGTTTAGCCTTAGAATGAAATATGCCACATTGCTGATCATGGGGATTGGTAAACTATACAATGGCCGATGGTTATTCAGAATCGACGCCAAGGACTTGAAGTATTATGTAGAGTACCATCCCTAAAATCAAATGTCCCAAATGCAACACGACGTTGTAAGACAGTTTAGCCAACAGAAGAAATCCGACTGTAACATCACCAGTCATTCCCAACGCATGGTGTTTCATTGTGTCCGAAAGGGATATGTGTGTATGTACGGTACAATGTCATTCGAGCATGGATGGCTCGCTGCACAATGTGAGTAGACAATCTTTGTATGCATTACACCCTAATTGGGTTTGTATTACCTTTATATACTAGTTGAGTTTCAGACGGACATTCAGTTTTACCCCATCGAGTGTAGACCGCTCCGCCATTATCCTTAACTGTAAAACAGATCGATATCGATAATCAAACATGTGCATATTTCCATATTTCGTTGTGCTGATAATCAAAAGTTAATTTGTAAAGTACACTTCAATCTTTTGAGTCATAATATGGCACTAATGATATTTATATTTAGTTCATTGATGCAATTTCACTTTTAACGTTAGTCTCAAACACTTAATAACACTTCTTAGTCTTCACCTGCAATTTACAAATAACACGTACATATCTAAGAGCCTAATGCGATATAATGACTGTGTAAACAAAATATAATTTCCTTTTACAACTTTAGCTGAGGCCTCACCTGTCAGAGGAAAGTAACTGCAATGTATTGAAACATACAGGTTTGTTTTTATTTAAAGTTTGCAAACCCTATTTATATTTATGAGGGAGGGGTGGGGGTCAATTCAATTTAATCCAAAGACACACGGACATACAGATCAACGGAGAAAACAGTAAAGTCTCTGTCCTACCAGGATCTGACGTTTCCTGTTCTGTGTTCAGCATCTGCCGCAACTCCTCCAGGAATGTCCGAGTGGCAATGCATGGTGTTGACGTTGGCAAAACCTGCGAAGTAGCCCTTCCTTGTGGTCCACCCCCTCACGGCTTGTCCTGAAATACAAACGTGGATTAAGTACACACGATTTCATACACACGGAAATATTGAACTGGTGGACTTGATAATCCACAGCGAGACATAAGAACCATGACAACGATCAACAAAAGATAGTGACATGTGCAGTCAGCATTTATATGTATTTGGTAGTCAGGACATAACATTACATAATGTACAGATTGACAAAAGTATCGCAACACCCAGGTTGTATGACAGGACCAATATTTCATCACAGTTTATATGTCATGTGCGTCTTCGTAGGAAATCATTTTGAGCCAAAGTGCTAAAAAGACTTGTCATTAACACAAAAGCCAACAATGAAAAATCTGAATGGTATAATGCAATGAAACATGGGTCCTGTAACGTTTGGTCATCCAAAACGGGCAAGGCGATGCAGTCCTACTTTATCCACCCAGGTCTCTTGTTTCAGTAACAGAAGACAGAGTTAGTATCTTGTGTAACCTCCGCTCATCTGGATGACGTTTTGAACCCTCGTCCCCCTGAAGTTGTTGGGGCAACCTGTTCCATTCTTGGTGCAATGTTTGCTCTAATTCATTAATCTCTCTGACGAACCTTATGCCCCAAACATGCTCGATAGGGTTCAAATCAAGGCTTCAGGCTGGCCAAGGGCAGTAATGACTTCACTATGACACGCTAAAGTTTGCAGTCATTAACGATGCACAGTCCCATTCTATCAAGGATCCTTCGCCGAATGGAACTTCTTCCAGCATGTCCTGTTCCTCTGTCGCCATACACGTGACATTACATCTGTAACAAACAGGAAAAACCGGCTCTCGTCTAAAAAAAATAGATCTTCCTCAAAGAGGTTGTTCAGGGCGCCACCATATTGCCTCCATGTGTCAACAAAGGTCCTCGGACAGGTTTCTTGGCTTTATACCTTGCTGTTTTCAGTCGATTTCTAATAGATTTATGACAAAGTTGCCGGTGTGCTAACCATTGCTGATTTAGCACTGAACTTGGTGCAAAGGGAAATCGCCGAACAAGTCTAAGAAGGGCTGCGTCTTGTCTTGCTGGTATCTTGGGTGGTTCGCTTGAACGACGCAGACCTTTTTACATAGTTTGTTTGGTGATAATTCCTCACTTACTGACTGATTGTTAGGGGTGGTGACCTAAACGCCTGGCAAGTTGTCTCATGGACAAGCCGGCATTATCCATACCTATAAAGTGCCATCTTTTGGCTGACGTTAGCTGAGAGGGTCCCATCGAGCGGTATAGGACAAGAAGTATGCGTTCTATCGCAGTTTTCTAACAGACGTGACTGGTATTTGAAACTGTATTTTTATGACACGAGGGGTGCGTTTGAGACACGTACTAGCTTCTGGTTTTCATTTTTTTTTCAATCTTTAAGATACTGACAGAAGAACCTATAAGGATTTGCAATACATTTTTTTTCTTGTGCATATATCATACGCACTGCCCAAATCATAAATTGTTTACTACCCCCATGCTTGTGGGAGAAACTGGTGGCATATGAAAGTACTTACACACAATTGAAATGGACACCTATTACAGTATTGCTGGAGTTTAAGAGATGAGCTGAAATACAAATAATGGATTCTTGCAGTTCAGAAAAAATGGTTCACTGCACAATTATTGTTGGTGATTCATATGTTGAATTCTGAATGATATCTCACCTGCCACACATTGTGGTGAGACAGGCGGTGAGTGAGTGAGTGAGTGAGTTAAGATTTTAAGTCACATCAGCAATATTTTAGCCACACCGTGACTAACACTAGTTCTAAATTTATAATACATACATATAATATAGAACACCCTGTCTACGAAGGACAGTAAAACCACTAGATTATCACAGATTGAGTTAAAACTAGCTAGCATATATCTTTAGAAGTAGAAAATTATTGCTGGACAATACAATGTAAAATTGGGCTATGGATCGCCAAGAACAGAAGGTAGATCACCATACTAGGGACAATGGGGACTTACAGTGCCTTTGCTACCTGCATGGACCCTAGTTGGATGTACACCATCCCTTCAGCCGCTGGCGACTGTAGGACAAGTTTAGCCGAAATTTAAAGGAACAAATATACTGAGTCAAAAAGAAACTTCACAAAATGTAATTTGAAAAATAATGAATAATTTTTCTCTGATGATACATCTATGTATCCGAAATGGGATCCCTAGCTTTCGAATCTAGAAAAACGTGAGCAAAACCCACTCAAACCCATCCGTTAGTGCCAAATCAGGTTTTGCACGTGCAGTCGATCACGTGATCTTCGCATCGAAGTTTTCTTCATATGCACGTGTTTGCATTGGCCTCAAGAATTGAAAAAACACTTTTAAACCACAGTTCTAACGGTACTTGAAATGCCACGATTGTCAAATGTGCAACGTGAACGTGCCGTTGGCATGTTGCAAGCGGGAAGATCAGTTATTGACATCGCAAGAGCAATGGGATGCAGCCGTCGTACTGTGTATGACTTGCGAGGTCGTCTACAACAAACTGGCACCACTTCTGATCGCCCAAGGTCGGGTCGTCCACGTGTGACGTCACGAGCAGAAGACCGTCAAAATCGTCCTACGTCACCTACGTGACAGATTTCTGCCGGCTACACGAACCAGGGCTGAGATGTTTAGAGGTCGACTGTCCTCACAGACCATTGGAAATCGGTTGCGGGATGCCAATCTCCATTCTCGACGTCCATATCGTGGGCCAATATTGACGCCGTTTCATCAACTTCAACGTCTGCTGTGGGCCCAACGTCACCTCCGGTGGACCCAGAGAGATTGGAATCGAGTCGTCTTTAGCGATGAATCCAGGTTTACCCTCAGATTCGCGGACGGCAGGCATAGAGTCTGGAGACGACGTCGTGAACGGTATGCCCAATGTTGTGTACAGGAAGTCGACAGATTCGGGGGCGGAAGTTGCATGGTGTCGGGTGCTTTCTGTGGGAACAACCGTTCCCGACTTCTGGTCATCCATGGAAACCTCACAGCTGCTGCTTACCGCGACCAAGTGCTCACCCCTGAACTCGTTCCTTTCATGGCGGCTCATGGCCCAGGTCTACAGTTCCAGCATGATAATGCTCGGCCGCATACCGCGATGTTGACACGAAATTTCCTTCAAAACGCTGGAATCAACGTCATGGACTGGCCATCGAGGTCCCCTGACCTTAATCCAATAGAGCACGTTTGGGATGCACTTAGGAGAAGGCATCATGGTCTTAGGAACCAACCTCAGAATTTGCAGGAACATGGCGCTGCCTTGCAAGAGCAATGGCGCAGAATCCCCAACCACGTGTTCACAAGCATCAGGCAGTCGATGAGGAGACGGTGTTTGGCAGTGGTGCATGCGCGGGGCGGTCATACACGATATTGAACTGAGAAATTTCGCATTTTTATTCTTGTGACTTGCTTATTTATTTTGTCTAAACATAACTGCAGTTGCCGTTCAATAGTATGCATATTTTTACCACGACAAGACATATTAAAATCATCCACAAATAATGATCCATCAATTGAATCATGTAAAACCTTTGATAAACTATTGATCTTGATGCTAAGCAGTGTCACAGACAAAATACTGCCTTGAGGGACACTCTGATCCTGATTGTTATAATCAGACAGGGTTGAACCCACTCGGACTTGAAATTGCCTGTCTTTTAAAAACTTTACATAAAAAGAGGCAAACGGCCACTCAAACCAAAATCATGTAAATCCTTCAAAATGCCATGCTTCCAGGTCGTATCATAAGCTTTCTCAAGATCAAAGTAAATTGATACAGCATGTTGTTTATTTACTATAGCATTTTTAACAAAGGATTCTAAACGTACCAAATGACCAATGGTACTACGGAAACTACATTGAATATTTGTTATAAGGTTATTGGTTTCAAGATACCAAGTTAATCTATTATTCACCATACGTTCCATGGTTTTACAGACACAGCTAGTTAGAGATATCGGTCTGTAATTAGACGGATCTGTATGATCCCTGCCAGGTTTTGGTATTGGGACTACAATGGCATTATGCCACGAAGGAGGAAATTCTCCAGACATCCATATTTGGTCAAATAGATCTAAAAGTGTCATCAGACATGGTTCCGGTAAGTGTTTCAGTAGCTGGTAATGTATATTATCATCACCCGCTGCAGTGTCATGAACTTGCTCAAGAGCAGTATGTAGCTCATGTAATTAAAAAACACTTCGTTATAATCTTCGCCGTTATTTGATTCGAAATCAAGTTTTGTCTTTTCCTGTTGTTTCTGATATCTCTGAAACTCAGGGACATAATTTGCTGCTGATGAATTTTTGGCAAGAGTTTCGCAAATTGTATTTGCAATTTTAGACTTGTCAGTAATTAAATTATCACCATCTTTAAGATGGTGAACAGTATATTATGAACCCCTGGCCTTTAATTCTTTGAACCATGTTCCATACTCTGGACATTGGCGTAGGTGAATTAATTTTGGAGACATAATTTCTCCAAGATTGTCGTTTGTTTTGTTTAAAGGTACGACGCGCCTTTGCATTGAGTATTTTAAATTTATTTAAGTTATTGACAGTTGGATGAAGGCGGAAATAACGCTCGGCCTTTTTCCTCGCTTTTCTGGCTTGTCTACAATCTGTATTAAACCATGTTTTTTGAACATGTGGACTCGTAGAGGACTTTGGTAAACACTCATCAGCTATTTGCTTTAAAACGTCAGCAAAAGTTTGAATGGGATCAGTTATATCACAGTTGATATAAAGACCAGTTAGCCTTCGAAAAGTTCTATCTTGTATACGATGGAGAATCAGATGGAGTTATTTCTGAAAGGATAGTAGGGAAGTGGTCACTTCCAAAAAGGTCATTATGAACAGACCAATCAAATTCATTCAGGAGGTTAGAATCTGCAAGAGACAAATCCAGAGAAGAATAAGTGCCAGTTGCAGGATGCAGATAGGTGCTTGAATCATCATTAAATATGCACAGGTCGTTATTAGAAATGAAATCGTCCAGTATTTTGCCTTTAGTATTAGTGTTAGTAGGGTTAGAGTGGGTTGTGACCGTTTAGATCACCCATAAGAACACATGGCTTTGGCAGTTGATCATAGAGGGATTGAAGATCAGTCAGCTGGAGGTTAGATGAAGGCGGAATGTACAGAGAGCATAACGTAAATGCTACACCCAGAGTAAGTCGCACTGCAACAGCTTGGAGATTAGTGTTAAGTGTAACAGGGCTGTGAATAACATCCTGTCGTATAAGGATAGTAGAACCTCCAGTGGCTCTATCACCCAGAGGGTAAAAGTAATGATAGGCTTCAAACTGACGTAAGTTAAAATTATCTGTCTGTTTCAGATACGTCTCTTGCAGACAACCCAACTTTATCACTCTTTGTGAATGTGCATATATGCATTATCATCATAAACAATATCATTTGGACCCATTTTTAACTGATTTGTACACTTTTTATTTGAATTTATACATGATTGAAAATAGGACAATGGACCCCACCTAAACAAACATGTCGATATCCTAATTATCAATGACTTCCTCAGTCTGATGGTTTGACTCAATATAGTTACATGATTCGTTGTTAAAACATACCAAACCAAAGTGTTCTGTCCATATAACATTTTAGGATATTCTAATGTTCAGAGGTGTAACATTTCTTTTGGCGCTCGGTTTATATGGTATTTTACTGGCCATTTCATACACAATTTTGATACCATTTACAGTACTTATAATAAGTAGTAATGTTCCAGAAATTTGTACCAACAAACAACATATCTCACTAACTCCAACATAGCGTGCGTATGTTACTTAAATATAATTCAATGACAGATGTATCTTCTTGCTATGATAACATGTCAAAATATATTTCCCCCTACAGAACAGTTGTTATCCAACTATAGTTATATATCCTGATTTCTTTTCAACAGTAGGCAAAGACTAATGTAGCATTCCGTCTGTTTGTTAGGAATTAATATGACAAAGAGAATTTGCTTCAAATCAGATATTCTTATTATATATATTCGAATTGAACTCATAATCATTCCATGTAGATATGTTTTATGCATTTACATATGCATATATGTACACAATAACAGATTATACTTATGCATAATAACTGCTAAAAGGTCATGCATGTGTAATGCAATGGTATAGTACATGTACACAATCATACAGAAATATCAGATAACATTAACATTGTACAATGCAGATATCTTTTGATGTAAAGAGAACTAAATATTCAAATGACCGATTTGTTTGCGAGTGAATTTGCTAAAACAGTTTATAGCAAGGAAACATAAAAAGCTGGGTCTGAAGAATGATATTATAGCTTTGTCATTACTATTTTAGTAAACTAATCATTGTGAACGAAAACTGCATGTAAACACTGCAAGCTAATAAATTATGACCATTTGATATTTACAGCACTTAACAATGTCAAAATAGAGACATTTAGTGTTAAGATATTGTTATACCATTAAAAACGCCATATTAATGTTTTTATTTACTTAAAATGTCGTCATTGTAGACGTTTAGATACATAATCCACCATTCATCCATAGAATCATTTCAGGCACCACGAAACCTTACAAATACCAAAACAGCCGTCAGTGATTTCCATACTATTTTTAAATCGTCTTTGAGCATTGTATTATGATATTGTGACAGCGCATAATTTATCGTTATATGCTTCATATTTGTATATTTTTCTATATTTTATGTATTTTGTATATATTTGCCACAAATTTCACTTTCATTTTTTGAGAGTTTTTGAAACGTCACTTCATGTCATGGCTCCAGCTGATGTAACGCACTTCGCAAAGATAATTAACATAAGCCATATACCATTGAAAGTGTCAACTTAAAACTCAATCCATTGTTTATTGCACCAGTAAATGTCTTAATCACCACCGTGCAGATGTCCAGGCCACAACTGTTTAAGCAAACTGCAATAAATCTGATCTAATTGACGCCAATTATCATTGTGACACTGTCATGTGACGCCAGCTATAAAAACTAATCCAGACAGGGGTTGTAAAACAAACCGTAATTAAGCTGATGCAATTATCCTGTCACGGTCACGTGACTACCCCTCCAAAACTCCTTTCGGCTTGTCCAATCAGTAACTGTTTGTAAAAATATCTGATCTATGTCAACCAACCAAAATGGTAACTACCCTATTATATGTTGTGGCCAATCGCAAAGAGTTCAAACATTGATCAGTGATGTTTTCGGCTATAAAAAGAAGTCAGTGATTTACGATCGGCACACTTGACCTCACAATAAATGTTGAAACATCTCCTTGACTGACAATGACTTTAAGGAATTCTACATTCTATTTTAAGGTAAGTTCTTTGGTACAAGTCTACGAATTCTGTCAGATAATGTCATGACTGAAATGTATTATTTATGAATAAAAAGTGGCAATATCATGTGTATATTTTAATTTTGCATGAACATTGTCATGCATAATGCCTCAGTCGTTATTGAATATGTAAGTGAACGTTGAAAGAAGAAATATGATACATTGTTACATATAGAAGCTAATTGAGATGCTAATTCCCCATCAAAATGTGTATACAGTATTAGATTATTGTTTGAATATCTTTTATGTATATGTATTTGTAAATAACACACTAAGTCTTGACCTCACAATAATGTTGAAACATCTCCTTGACTGATTATTGACTTTAAGGAAATCTACATTCTATTTTAAGGATTTGAACTTGTTATCCCATAACGAGCCGGTTAACAATATGTAGGTGATGGTTAACATACTTAGTACAAGACTGTTTATTTTGTAACTACTTGTCTACTTGAAACAAATTTTCTCACTTCTCTCAGTTATATACCTGCTACATATATCTGTTGTTGACAGAAGTCACAGTGTGTACGGGCCGACGACATGTACACGTTGCATACATTAACATTGCGAGTAACACATCAGCTACCCTAAATTGCATTCATATAGCCGAATCAGCCACAATACGAAATAGATTTCAGTATGTATACATTGAAATACATCCAGGTTTTAAAGTTTGATATTCAGACATATAGTGCATGACTTTAATTAGCGATTGGAAAACATCAACAAAACGTAAAAAAATGTCCTGAAATGAACTATCAGCTTACTCCACCGCCTCGTTTCGAACGGCTATGGTTTATTAATTATTTTACTAAACCGGAGGAAGTGGAAAACATATTGCTTATTTAGGATTAATGCTACCAGGACCACAGACGCATCATTAAGAAAGGATCAACAGCATTGGTAATGGAAGGTTATTAACTCCAACTGTAGACATAAGTCTTTGAGGCGAGTGTTGACTTGAGGTGTTCTGAAGCATGCTCATAATCTCTCTGTTTGTCTGTCTCTGTCGCTCTCCCTCTGTCTCTCTCTCTGTGTCTTTCTCTCTGTCACACACACACACACACATATATACACAAACACACTGTACACATAATATACATTTCAAATTGTCTCAACTTACCCAAAGATATAGTAGTCTGGGAAGCAAGCAAGATGGAGACTGCCAGTGTTGATATTCCTCTCGTCAGCATGATTGCAATGTCATATCAGCTAAGTATCTATTCATATTATATATTTTCCTTCCAGGATCTATCACATTCTCCCAGGTGTTGCCACCCTGATTGTGTCACACACTATCATCAGTTGTAGTCATACCCTTCTACCCACATACAACAACAACATACAGGTGCGATATTACACGTTTGGCTATGTGGCAAACACGTTCGTGTAAAGTATCCTGATAGTGTCCTCGTGTGCAGTCGTGTTAATATGGTTGGTGTTTCGTGTTTCGTCGACCGTTACCGCCTGTTATGGATATAAGATTGTTACCTAGATATGATGCAGTCATGTTGGTCTCACATTCACACGTGAGGGCACGATGTTTCTGAATCAGGATGTCACATGTTGACTATCGTCAAACCAGATCTGGACATCACACCCAATGGGTTTTTTTAATACTGATGCGTAACTGATTTTGCTGTACGTGTGATACCTGGTGAAACACAACACGGAGAGCTATTAGTATCACCTGCTGCCTCGATGAAGGCTGGAAATGTTACATCTGAATAACGCATCCGATTTCCAGAGAGAATTTCAGCATCATTTATCTTGATGAAATTGTAGTTACCGTGTTACCATCATTATACCCTTTCCAGTTGAACATGTCCTTTTTCGCGAAGCAGAAACAAGAACTGATTTTAATAGTATGTACTTATGTGACCGTGACTCCATTGACGATAAAGTTTATGTTCCAATCAGTTGTTCATTGTTTGTTACCTATTAGAATGCAACTAAAGGAAAGATGGTGACTGTTATGTCCATACTTCTGCCGTCTCTCTCCGATTGTCCATGAACGTTCCTACTGAGTAATCATGAATTTGTATGCCGCATTAGTTATAATAAAGACGTAAATGGATGTAAATATTCCGTATAATAACCCAGTGAGAACATACAGTTACACTATGCTATTTTTCACTATACCATAATTGTAATACAGCAATGCTTACATGTATATAGAATGACCATACCGGTGTCTCGGAGTGAATTTGGGTGGACGTGTTATTCATCAAGTGTTTTATTGTGTATTCCTGTACACAACTATACCTATACATAAAAGAAATATTTCTGTCTTTTTGTATTTCTCTGTGTATCAGAACAGAATGGCGATTTCTACTAGTAGACTGCATGGATCCACCCCTTCCTCTGGGGTAAACGAAAATGACACCGATATACTTAAGTCACTTTCTTCTTTCATGGACATGATGGAATAGTCACGGATAATGACGAATATACCTTACGTGGTAAATGGTCAACTTCAAGTCATGTCCCCATTTAATAAAGTCAATGTGTGGAGCCTATTTCTGGTGCCCCCTGCTGTGATAGTGCTGGAATATTGCTAAATGCTGCGAACATACTCACTCACTCAAGCAAAACACGAAAGTTGACGCGACATCTCTAAACAGAAGAGGGCGGCAACACTGGAAAAAGTATGAACGTGAATGGGCTCAAATAGAACATATATGTCCACAGTCGCCCTTCCTTCTATCTAACATGGTGGTTGGGTAGCCCAATAGACCACATGGGTAGAACGTCTGGTGTCCCCCACAGTTATATTGCTGGAATATTGATAAAAAACATATTCACGAACTTACTCACCCTATTAAAACATATGCCAAGCAGTAGCAGTGAGGTGTTACAACCGAGCATTTAGCGCTAAAAGTGCATTTGTTTTCATATTCACACATCTAAGGTTCTACGTGTCATTCACACATCGATCGAGTTCATTACATAGTTATTCTATCAGGTTTGGATATGGTGAGCGGGAAGGCCTTGTCAAGATTTTGACGTTACAATTAGCAAGGTAGCGGACCGTGACGCGTGCTGTATGTGAAGTAGCGTTTCCATGCTCAAACAGCCCCTACAGCTCAAAATCCCTACAGCCCAGTACCCCTACAATTAGTTTTAAAAAAAACCACGCAGCATTTACCTGACTGGCATAATGAACTGACCCAACGGAGATATTACACGGTGGAGTATACAGTGTGAAATTAAGCTACATAGAGTATACAGATAAGTACGGAAGCGTAGTAGGGCCACGGTGAAAAATATTTTTGGGGTCACTATCTCCTACGTAGGACTTAACATCTCCTACGTAGGACTTAGTATCTCCTACGTAGGACTTACTATCTCCTACGTAGGAGATACTAAGTCCTACGTAGCAGGACCAAACTACTATCTCCTACGTAGGACTTAGTATCTCCTGCGTAGGACTTAGTATCTCCTAAGTGGGTATCTAAGATACCTATGTCCTACGTAGGATATACTAAGTCCTACGTAGGAGATATTAAGTCCTACGTAGGAGATATTAAGTCCTACGTATGAGATATTAAGTCCTACGTAGGATATGCTAAGTCCTACGTAGGAGATAGTAAGACCTAAAAAAAAACTCACCGTGGCCCTACAACGCTTCCGTAGATAAGAAAGGATTAAGATTGTGCTGTTGTTGGTACTGTTTTAATAATTCATTTTAAATAACTGAGATGAATTACTAGTAAATGTAGAACTAAATTTTGTTTTATATCCTGATGTACATAGTGAGTAAACAGATTTTGCAAATCGTAATTATACAAGTTGTAATAGTGCTGGAGATAGTAAACTTGGATAAATCATTTGGTATATAGATGTTGGAAACAAACTCACATGACAACAATATGGCTGGTCTTCGCAATGTGTACAGAGACATTGAGCATCACAAGTGTTGTCTAAAGAAGCGGTTTGATCTTGGACTGAAAACACCATTCCAGTTCCTGGACTCTGTGGGCCATCTGCTTAAACTTGGATAGAGACACGGAAACACACACTCGTAAACCTCAAGTTCAGTATTTTTTAACCTTTCCTAAAGTAGAAGACCTTGAAACAATGTACTTGGATGGAAACTGATATTCAATATGTTATAACATGATAGTATTTATTGAAGTTGATTAAACCTCGAGTTCAATATTTGTTAACTCTATGGCTAAACTATTTGTGCTATCATCTATTAAAACCATTCTCTCAACTCTTAGTTTGGTTATTGCTAACTAAAATCATCATTCCCTTAATTTCTAAGTGTTTGGCCTGGTCCATGGTATGAAATAGGTAACAGGCAGGAAATTAGCAGTGCACTGGACAATGAACTTTGTTGTTATAAGCTGTAGGGGTTGTGGGCTGTAGGGGTTGGGGAGGTTACCGCTGGAACAACTGTTATTTGAATTTGACCATGGATTGCTCTAGTGTATACAAGTTTATTATGAAGATCATGTGAACCACATCAAATTTTTCATTGAATTTGACCATGGCATGCAAGTTAATAGAAAATAGAAGATGAACCATGTAAACATCGTTACTGTCTATATTTGTTGGATCCGTATATTATGTGCAACCATGGGGAGACAGTGTGGAATCAGTAAAGCGGTCAACCGTGGCCAGTGTGGTTATAAGATGACAACGGTGACGTATGACAAATGGGAAGATACCGTCGGATGTAACTGGGGGCAAAATATTCATTTCTTCGACGGTCAACAAGCTGTTTTCCATCTCGCCGGTGAAGAAGCATTCGCGATTCACCATTGAACCAGACTCGCCTCTAGTTTCTAAGGTTCCAGTTCAGGACTCTACGACACCACTGCAAGTGATTGCGCCTATGGGAAATTCTTCTAGCGACATATGGTCCTTTGATGAACGTTGAAATGAGGGCAACTGCAGACTGCGACTCCCCAACTTCATGATGCTTTCTTCGTTTCCAGTCCAAAACGAATGACAAAATTAAAAACAACGTGTGCCTGTTAATAGTGATCGATACCGCATGCGTTTCCGCTTACTTGCACGTGCATTTTGCTTTGCATGTTTCCGTGGAGACGTTTTGGTGTGGTTGAAATTGCCGCGCATTGGCGCTGAAGCTGTTTACAGTAACACAAAGGGGACGTTTTGGAAGAAAGAGTATTTGTGTATTGTTTTTTTGAGGCTGCTACTCGAGTCAATATTCTTAAAATCACCTATGAGTTGATTTTTAAGATGTATATATGGTGATAATACCTGCGTCTCGTAGTGAATATGGGCGCATGTGATTTATTGTGTTATCATGTACCAAATGATACATATACTTTACTGTTAACACCGTGTAGTGGCAGGTTGTGTTATGAGTGCCCCGATGATGTCAAACATGCCATTAGCAAGGGCACTGTTTCACTGCCGACTGATGAAAAGCATTCGTAAAATCACTTGATACTGCTCGATGTTTGAAACGCTAGTATATATAGAACCAAAGAAATATGTCTGAAATCGTGTGAGTGCAGTGGACATGAGTTTGGTTTGAAAGAACTTTCATGTTGATTTGGTTATTTTATATAAAAAAGTGTATACAGGTTGAGATGCTAGGTACGTTGTCATGCTAAGTTGAATGTGTATTAAATATGGATATTTACACATGCAATTCCCGATAGTCATGTCAGTTTTCATGAGATAAAAGATCACACACTATAAGCGGCTCACTTTCAACATCCTTCCAGGTGCCACGCCAGAGATAGAGACATCGGTTGCTCTGTCATCTATTTGTAGAAGACAACAGAGACAACAATAGCACATGACCTGAGAACTAACATTGCCACATTCTCTTCGTCTCATCCAGCCAGTGTGCATAACTGTCATTATAAAGTCATATGTCGCTGGGTGTATCACATCAAAGGTATCTTCGTCATAACAAAATCGTAAAAACCTGATTAATAACAATAATATTAATGATACTATTTATAACGCGCCTTTTCCAGGCTAGATATCCTGCTCAAAACGCACTCATCATTATTACCCCGGATAACCCAAGCTGCCTGTTTGGCGCTAGAAGGTACCAATTTTCTGCTGGGTGAACAGAGGCAATTTTGAACGAACTCACGTGACGACGATTTGGCAGCACTGCACATGAACAAAAGCCACATCAGATTGAATCGACCAGTCTACGTGGGTATGAGCATCCTGGACCTCTCCAAACACTTGATGTACGATGTCTACTACAACAAGCTCAAAAAGCACTACGGTAATGGATACCAGTTGTTGCATAT